GTTATGAACGGCGGGAATCTGCGCCGTAAAAAGGCAGTGGGCGGAGCATGGAAGAATTAGCGTGTTTCACGGCCCTGTATCTCCATTCCTGGGCATGTTTGGGCGGGGGGACCACGACACATCGACATCTGGGGGGCTGATAGTCTCATACACCCTCAATGTGTATGAGCGTACTATGTGTCTTTAAAGGCACATTTGGCGATTACTTGTAAGAATCAAAAGCTCCACCGGGAAGTGGTGATGTAAGCCGCAATGGACAAGCTTGTAGCACCACTTTTTCGTCGCAAAGTATTAGGAAGGAGCACCGTGGCGGAAGGCTACTGAAGCAGCTCCCTGAGGCAAGTGACTCCGCCCATCTTGGTGTTTGTCGTCTTGCTGTCGTCCCTCTTCTCTAATGCCAACGAAATTTCGCCTGTTCGGGCGTTTTGGACTATACCCTCTGCATTTCGCTCACGGATGAGTCAAATAACACGTACACTCTCGCTTTTTAGCCCCGGGTCCTACAACTCATAAGCGCAAAATGTACCTTGAAAGTGACAACTTATTACCGCCCATTTATCGACGTATCCATGAACAACGTGAAAGAGTAAATAACAGCAGGTAGAGATACGTACAAGACAACCGCGATCTGTCGCTTCGTCGCGCGCGGCGTATCGTGCAGGGTTGCGAGGCGGATTCTACAAATGTATCAGATTGTTGACCGAAGCAGTGAAACTCGTAAGGACAGAGGCAGATGCAAGACTCCATGACGGACAATATCGAATTTTTCCGTTTAACTGATACTCGAATTCAAACGATCGGGTAGGACAACTCGTCCGTCCGCCGCTTCCTTGCTCGTCGCGCCCACCAGCGCAGCGTTTCACGATTGTATTGTCACTGCTCCACTAGGTAATGAAATGAATATCAACAAAGAATTGCCTACAGCTCTAATATAACATCTATCTGAACATGATGTGAGCAACTAATTACAGTAATTCACATGAACGGCCGTAGCATTTCTTTATCCAAACAGCAGTCCCGAATAACACCTTTCCGAAACAGTTGTATGAACATCGTTATTGCACGATCGAAATCCCAGCGATCTTCGTACGTGAGCCCAATAAGGCAACGTTTTCGAAAATCCTGAAGTTATGCTATATTTAAACAACAAGTAAACAAATATGAGATCCAAGAACACCTAATAATGGCCGCTATGAGGTACGATGTCATGCAGTTCTGCAACGAAGTGATCCCTTTCCCTCTGCAGGCCTATCATTAAATATGAGTACAGAGGATCAGTCTTCTCGGGGTGCAGGGTAGAGCACTTCGCGGTGTCGCCGCGTGCCCCTCATCAACTGCAAGCACCAAACAGTGCTCTACTGGAACTTATAGCCAAAAGGGCGTCAGGGAACGACGCCATGAGCGCGCTCTTTCCCTTCTCTTTGTGGTGCTGATGGCTGAGAAAGGTACACTCTACTTCGCTGCGGGACTGTTCGGGCGTGGCCAGGAGTATGCGTGCACGTCGTCCAAAGCCCGTCCTCTCGGCCTTATGTTGAGACAGAACGACACCGAAGTGTATAAAAAGAGTAAATACGAAAATATGCCATACAGTCATATCATTCTGCTCGTTCTTTAAAAACTGGTGACGGAACGGTTCAGCCAGCTGCGCCAAACCGCCTTTGCCACGACCAACGGTCCGCCAGCGAACTAACTTATGAAGAAGAGGCAGCGCACTATGACGCTTCTCTCCGCCTATTTGGGAATCTCAGACAGTGTCGTTTAAAGCGAATCGGTTAAAAATCGCCGATTCTTGTATCCTGACGATGTGAGCAATCCCTGGGGGTGGCTGAGATTCGGAGAACTCCCGGCAGACTCGAATGGTGGGTGTATTTTTGTCCAATACCCCTCCAAACTCCCGATTTCTCGATCTGGCAAGAGTACCGAGTTGGAGCTTTCTGAGATCTAACGCGTTCACGAGCCCATTCTCGTCACAATTCGAGATCCGAAAGTTACTATAGCTGTGAGAAAAGGCTCGACTACAGCCAAATCTCTACCATCGACCTCTAGCGTACTTAGCCTAAGCACTAATCATTACACAACTGGTGTCGTTAATGGGTTAGAGGGCGTGAGTGCCGATGAATTATATAAAGAAATCCATGAAGCTTAGAAGGGCACTAGACCGTACTGATGGTGTAATATTTGCACTAGTCCAACAGGCGTGAGGTACAGATTCTAGCCCAGAGGCTCTGCCATAACTCATCATTCTTGTGATAGCTTTTGTGATCAACTGTCCTACTGGCAAAGCTGACCCATTCCAAGAGAAATATCAAGAAAACAAAAGAATATTTTCTAATCAGCCACGAACCTTCTCAGAGCATACTCGAAGTAGAAGTTTTTCAAGGTTGTCGGTTGGCCCGCCCTTGATTCCCAGATGACTGATGTATGAATAATCACCAGTACTGAAAGAATGCTCACATTTACCATAAGGCAAAAAAATGACAATGCTAAATGAGCCAAGAGAAAAAACATTATTGGAGCAGCCATTAACAGATCAATCGCATCACTTGAGGTTGCTCGAAAAAAGTATTTTGAAGCGGTGAGAACTGCGGCAACACGTCACTACAATAAGATTCTGAATATTTAATCGTGTAAAGATTCTTGCTTTTGTTCCAGCTTGGCTATAAGCGGAATGATGGATCTATTCATCCTGAAGGTTTTGGACCTGGGGTGGGTATGTGACAAGACAATCGCAATTCGCCGCTTCGGTGGGCTTCGCGTGCGAGGCCGCGCCCGCTAATGATGATGTTTTTAGATAGCACATGTGGGCAGCTGACAATTTATACCCAAATGTATCCATAAATGTCGATGATGCCGCGGTACACGTGGACGGAACGGCGATTACGATTGTTTTGACCGTCTCCGCGCTGGGTGGATGCACGCGGCGAAGAAAGGCTGGCGCCACTCGTTGTCTGCGCTTTCACTAGGACTTGAGTGCATTGGTCAGGGAAGGAGGAAGGGAGAGCTTACATTTTCGTTGAGAGGGCGCACGCACGGGGAGCATCTTAATCAGCATGACCTTCCTCTAACTTCTGTAGCCACCAGATCTGTGTAGCTTTCAGAAATTCAGGAAAAAAAAGAGCAATAATCAAAATCATACCGATTCAACCAGTAAAGAAGATAATCAGCCACGTATCGACTCGGATTTTCCCGTAGCGCTCTCTAGGATCAGATCGCATAGAGCTAACTTCATCACCTGAATGTATTGAACAACTGATAAAACGAAGTCATTCTCGTAATATAATAGTCTGCGACGAAATAAAACTATGAGCGTAATTCTTGCTGAAAAAGAATACTCTTCTGATTAGTTAGCTCATGCGGGCTCATGCAAAATTAGCCCAAGCAACACCATAGAAATAAAGGGTTCTGGAACTTGCCTCCAATCTATGTTCCGAGTGCCGGAAAGAAACCAGGAGTAATCAGCAACGTTAGACAGGCGGCTTGTCCAAGACACGGACTCGATTTTGAACGCGTACCGTAACACCAGGACGGGCGCCTGTACGAAAAAAATAGGTCCTTCATTCAATCTGAGTTGTAGAATACCGCAATTTCAATAAACAAGGTGAGACACTGATAGGCAGCCGGGACCTAGACTCGAGTGCACGACATGTGTCACATTTTTGCAAAATTCTTTAGGATTTTGGCTAGAGGTGCTACTCATAAAACGGGCATAAATGGAAAAGCAGTGGAGGAAGTGCATCAATAGTGGATTGTTTTAGACGTTCGAAACAGCGTGCTAATGTGCCCACATAATCCAGCCAGTGGGGGGGGGGGGAAGCAGCGTCTCATGCCGAAAGCTCGCGCCCATTACCCCTAGGATCTACAGTAAACTTGAACTCAATTCCTTTGGAAAGAGTCGAATTTGTGGTTTTCTCTGCTCTGTCTCATCCGCGTGGCACTCAACGGTCATTGTGGCTTCTCACATTCAGCCTTTCACCTATGATACTCAACCCTCTTCCGGAATGCCCTCAGCGTACCCCCCGCTAGAAACGGTTCTTCCTCTAGCACCCGTCGGTCCGCCACTTCGAAAGTGACTACAGCCGCGCTACGGCCTCTTTGTGCTCTCTAGACTCAGGCAGAACGCTCGATGGCCCGAGCACATAACGGATCAGTGGGCGCTGTTTGTTCGCGGGGGCATTTTGGCCTTTCATTGCTTCGCCTAGTGTCCGGTTTAGCAAATCTCACTCCGTGTAAAAGTTGTGGTGAACTTCTTTGTGGAAGCTGAAGTAAGATCGTCTAGCCACTATCCTAAAACGTGTCAACTCGAGAAACGGCTGCCTAGATGGGTCGACACATCTATGGAAAGCAAAATGCCCCCCCCGTCGACAAACTGCGCCCGATCAGTTTTGTAAGATCCCACTACGCACTCAAGTACGTTAGCGTGGCCAAACCTCTAAATCAGAACTTAAAAAGTCAAAGAAGGATCGGGAAGAAAATACGAAAAAAAGGAAAAAAAAACGTTCTGATTTTCGAATCAGATTTACACTCACCTTCTATCACAGCGCTTTGCTTTGTGCCCATATTATGAGAACGCCATGTATTGATCAACGATGACTTTCCCACATTGGGTATTCCTACTACCATGAGATCTGAATCCCCCTCCCACGCTTACAAATCTGAAGCTTTACAGATGTTTCAAGCAATAAAGAGAGTGTGGAGTGAAGATATCCCCACGTGAGAACTCGGTTTTTCAGCAGCGCACGATTGAAAACGCGCTCTCGAAAACAGTGCATTAAAGTACGGTCTTCTGATGGGTGGTGTTCGGATAACGCAACGGCTTTAAGTCGCCTCTTACAATCGTCCAGATAATTTGGGGAGTTAATACCATGGCTCATTAAGGTAGTAATCTTCAATCGCTGTCTGATAATATCCTAGACGCTCATAGACTAATTATTGGGGAGAGCTTCATACAATATCACCCGAGTTCTCTAGGAGTGTACAATCAGCTGAATTTCTAAGACACATTCCTTTCGCAAGAATGCTATGTTGTGGGCAAAAGTCAGACTCCAGGAGGACACAAACCCGCACCCCGCTGACCAAGCGAGTGCGCTATACCATTCGTTCAGAGCTTTCACGAAGAAGTCTGACCATCGCGTAGGCGGTCGTCCATGTTCGCTCGACATCCCGTGGAATCCAGTCGGTGATTGCTCTGGTGGTAAGGATAAGAATGGTTTAAGCCGACTGTTCTTCTCGCACCTGGATTCGAGGCATAATTAGCGAGGTGCGAAGCGACCTCATTAGCCGAGGCACGTCGTGCTCAACTGCAGCTGACCTCACTTCAAGGAAAAGCTATTAAGCTATCCAAATCGGAATAAATCCATTGCAAGATTTCGGTAAAGTGGGTAAAAAGATTGCCATATATTTCATATATTTATTATTATTATTATTATTATTATTATTACTTAAACAAGAACAAGTGTACAAATTATTATCAATAATTAACAAATGTATTTAATACACGTTTTTGTTTGTGACGAATCTGCGATATTTTTAATGGCAGTAGCACTCTATTTGGGCACTAGATACTCCCTGCTGATAAAGTTCGTTGAATCTGAAAATAAGTACAGTGTCTTTGAGAGGTGCAATGAAGAAAGGGATCTGAAAGGTGTCCTACTTTGCCATTTCCTCAGATATTTTCTGTTTCCTCACCATGTACACCTCTCGCACTGTCTTAGCGTGGGTGTTGCTGAAGAGGAAGTTGCCCGGGAGGTGGAAAAAGTGTATGGAGAGAAGGGCTCCACGTAGTAAGAAGTTTCTGGTACAGGGATAACGGTGTATGTTGGATCCCGAGCGACGTAGTAGAAAGGTGCCGGCGCGGGGGGGAAACTATGTGGTGTGCAAGCCTACCGTCGTACGAAGGTGCTGGTGCCGGGGAAAAATTGGGTGGCGGTGTTACATACAAAGGAGTGGGGCACGATGTCTGAGGGAACCCTGGAAAGGTTTCATACACATAAGAACGGGAATCAGAAATTTTTTAATTTCCTGATAGTTTAGTTTTCACTCGATTTATTCCGATTTCGATAACTCAATGATCTCTCATTGAATGAGGTCACTTCGCACTCGAGCACGATTTCCCCCTGCTTAATGAGGTCGCTTCGCACCTCGTTAATGATGTCTCGCACCTAGGGCGAGGCATAAGCGAGGCATAATTAACGGAGGTGTGATCGTACCATTTTTATCTAACCCTTTGCTCTGGTCCAGCGGTCGTCCTCGAAACGCATGACGTGTCCGGCCCACCTGATCTTCGAAACCTTGGCAAATGCGGCGGCGTCTCTGATCTTCGATCGTCGGCGGAGTGCGGAGCTCCGGATTCCCTCTCTCACTTGCGTGTAGCGGGAAACTCCGAGCATCGCCCTTTCGATGGCGCGTTGAATAACGCCGACCGCATGCTCATCCTGCTTTCGTAGAGTCCAAGTCTCTGAGGCGTACGTCAAGGCAGGAAGGACAGCGGAATCGGAGAGGTGGACATGGAGACTGGTGACTTCGTGCGGTCTTTTTCGCTACTCCCTCGATGTTCTTGAAGGCTGATACCTGTGACGTATAAACCCAGCGGGCCTATATGGGTCAACCCCGGCTGTTTGGCATGCGTTGGAACTATCTCAGTGTCCATATACATTTTCCATGCTTACCCTTTGTCATTAGTCTCTCGTTCTTCCGTATTCTGCAGTCTAATTGTCTAAATCGACACTCCTACGAGAACAGCTCTATTTAGGGTGCTTTCGACGTTTCCGCCTTTAAAGCATCATAAGTTTGAATGGAAACTCGTGACCAGATTTGGCATCCACACGCCGAGCCAGAATGTGCTAGCATATGCACCACGTACCACACAAAAATGCTGAGGGAAAACAGTTTGTTGCCATGAAAGAGGTAAAACCAACTGATAAAGAGTGGACGAAAACAGAAAACTATAAGATGAGGTAAGCTTCTGCTAAGGTTCACCTTCAGAATGTCGAATAAACCTACAAAACTCTGGCGGCCGGATCCGCGGGGGGGGGGGCGTGACACGGACCGGAAATTGAAAAGCGAAAATGAAAAAAATGAAAGGAAAGAAACGAAATTGGTGGGAAAAATCTATTCCACTCACTTATACTTCTTCAAATTGATGAGATCCATTTTATTCATTACCAACACGTGTGGCGGATTGAGGCAGCAAATTCAGAGAGAGTGTTCTTCGGCCACTGATCGGGATACGGGGCATCATGTACCTAGGAAAGACACCGTAAGAAAATGGCGGGTATGTGATAAGACAATCAAATATATCGCGCTGGGCGTGGCGAGCGACGTCACGCACGCGAGGGATGAAGAAAAAGAAAGATTGATATCAGTCCGAACATTGAGAATGTGCCGCGTCCCGCCGCGCGATGCGCCGTCCATGATGTCGCAGGAAAGATTACATTGTCTATGACCGTTTCTTACCCTCCAGCGTAGGTATGGAGAGGAAAAGGAATGCTCCTCACTTTACCTCGACAATGAGGTCAACGGAACGTAGTTTACCCTCCATCTTTTTCATTTGCACGGACATATGCATAGGAAACCATACTCTGTAGTCGAAATTTGGAGGAAGAGCATACTCCTCACGAAGATCTGGGACGGAGTTGCCTAAAAATGATCGAGAATCTTTAGCTGAGTTCCCATTCGAGGAATTACGACTATGGGCGCTACTAATCTTGGAGGAGAATCATTCAAAGGACTTCTTGTTCAAATAACAGGGAGAAAGTTATCACAAGAATGCTGAGATATTGGCAAAAGTCGGACCCGGGACGGGACTTGAACCCGCATCTCCCGCTTACCGGGCGGTTGCGTTATCCATTACGCTACCGGGCCTCCTTTGCCTTCTCAGCTCAATGGCATTTTGTGCCATAGCCTTACAGCACTCACACGTTCAACGTGATGAGCCGGTTAGCCGATATCGGCAGTGAACCGCAAGGCTGAAGGCTTTTTACAAGTTTCAAGCTGTTTTAGTTTTGATAACTGCTGTTTAACGCCGCAGTATGGCTATGGCACAAAATGCCATTGAGCTGAGAAGGCAAAGGAGGCCCCGGTAGCGTAATGGATAACGCAACCGCCCGGTAAGCGGGAGATGCGGGTTCAAGTCCCGTCCCGGGTCCGACTTTTGCCAATATCTCAGCATTCTTGTGATAACTTACGGAGCGCGCACTGCGGCGTTAACAGCAGCAGTTATCGAAACTCAAATAACTTTATAACAGAGAGAAAGGTTTTTGTTCGAGCTTGAAACGGTAAGGATCTCCCCTGTAGGTGAGCTAAGTTCGAGTACTGTAATTGCATCCTCACTGAGGCAATACTAGTTCTACAGAGGATCCTTTGAATGCCTTACTCCCAACATTATCCCTGCCCGATTTTTCAGCATGTTCAACAAATGGAAGCAACCAC